GGTCTGCAACTGAAAACACCTGCATCAGAACCGGAAGGTGTTTTTGATCCATCTGTGAACCAACAACTATCAGAATGAATGGTACATGACACCAGATTTTTTTATCCTTTCGAAAGTCTGGAAATAGCAATAGTGTAGAATGGGAACTAAGAACAGTGACATTCTGAACAGTCCATTGTATTTTTTCTGTCATTAATAATCTATTGAAATTTGATGGAGCTCTAACGAGAAAGTTTTCCGCAAGTTCCTTCCCGAAATCATTGATATGTATCGGAAAATGAAAGTAAATGGTGTACCTTCTTAGATAGAAATAAGGAGGTACAGAGCTTGAAATCACTTTTGTTCACCTTCTGAAGATGCCAACTTGCCTGGTGAAACACAAAATAAAAGTCCTCGTTCTTGGATTTAATCTACGCTATAAGTTTCAGTTTTACGTTTTATTAAGATTTTTTTCAATAAATCAATTATTTCTTCATTTATTTCATCAATATTATCATGAATGAAAATAGGAGAAAAGTCCATTGTTACTTACCACCTTTCACAAGTTGTTTTCGAAAAAAAATTCAAGATTACGGAAAAGGGTAACCCACGGTATGAGCAGTGGTCCATTGGTTAATGACGCTGTCACTACCTCCCACTGGGTTGGAACTTTCATGGAACATCATTTCATATTTAAATCTGAAAAAAGATACAATTATAGATTTTCCCGAATCAGGACTTCGGAAGTAATCCTTTCCTCTTATTTATAGATGATTCAGAGAATATAAGGAAAAAATATGGTGGAGACTTGTCAACCGCGATATTCGATATCATTATAGGATTCCCACTAGACCATGTTGCCATTTGTTTCGACAACAGGACAGGTAGTTCTCTATGAAGTATGTTTTCGATTTGATGTTATCTTTTTCAGAAATTGAGTTCGTGGAACACTTGGTCAAACAACTGAAAAACGGAACTGTTTTGATAACAATTTTTAACATCGCCATTACGGAAATGCAAGAAAGGGTTAGACGAAAATTAATTATTATGAACAAAAACGTTCAAAAAGCTAAATGTTTTCTGTTTCAGTATTTCGAATATTTGTCATATCAGACGGAAAATCATTTAGAATCGTACAATATCTTTTTTGGAACACATCGACTATATGAACATTTACTATTGGAGGTATGTACACACACTTATTTTCTTTGTCAAATGTTTTCAGAAGTGTTTCAGTTACTTGATTTCCAACAAACCCAAATCTATTTTCAGATTGCAAGCAGAAACTTCATCCGACGAAACATAATCTATATTTTTTACTGGGGTCAGAGTCTATTTTCGAGATATTTTCTGAGAAATATAAAATACTGTATGAAAATATATGCTATCACGAATCCAAGAAATGATACGTAAGTATCTTGATTGAATATTTCAGATTTTATGATATGATGAAATATACACGTATTCAAGTCACAGTTTCTGATATTTTTACTAAATAGTTCACGAAACCGCAAGACACGTTTCGTTATATGATATATTCTCATATACATGACCGACTTTATTGAACCCACCATTAATATTTCCCTTTCTTTTTAAAAAATCAAGACTTGGATGGTAGGTTAGGTTAGGTCCAAAGTGAGTGGGTCTATTCGACCTTCCACCGGAACCCGCAAGCGTCTATTGTGGCTCACAACTATTCACACTTTGCCAAATAAACCCAGTTTCTTAACGCAGCTGATAAGTTTGTATGGTGAGTGCTCTTTCAGGTCAGATGGTAAGTGTACTGCTCTGTCAAACTCTAAAAACCTGATGCGGTCCGCAGCCGGGCAGGCACAAAGTATTTGCTCTGTTGTTTCATCATTTTCCAAACAGAGGCGACACACACTGTCTTTCGACAGTCCAAGTCTCTGCATATGATGATTTAAATGATAGTGATCTGTAAGAAGACCTGTTAGACATCGTAGTTTGTTCCTACTGTAGTCCAATAACTGTTTGGTATCAAGCTTCGAAGGGTGAATAAACGCCTTGGAGTGAGCCAATCCTGGTAGATTCTGCCAGAAGTCCATGAATCTTCTTGTCATCCAGGTATTCAATCTTTGTTTGGAAAAGCCTGAAGCAATGCAAATGACAGGTTCTGGTCCGATGAAGCTGCTTGCAGCATCCTTCTTTGCAAGGGAGTCAGCTGCCTCATTGCCTCCCAGGCCAGTATGGCCAGGAATCAGACCAGTGACAATATGTTAAGTCTTCCTATCGAGGAGATTCGTTTTTGGCAATTTGCTATCAATTTAGACGTTGCTTGGTAGGAACCAAGTGCTCCCAACGCCGCTTGACTGTCCGAGAATATTTTTATTGACTCGTGTATGAAATTGGATTCCTCCAATCTCTCCGCACACAATTGAATAGCGTAAATTTCCGCTCAAACTACAGTCGTATAGGTTCCTAGGCAGGTTGATATATCTGTCTTGGGTCTGCACCAGAACCGGAAGGTGTTTTTGATCCATCTGTGAACCAACAACTAGCTGCTCTTAATATTTTCTTCTTCTGGAGGATTCAGTCCTCTCTACTCGGGAACAGTA